CGAGAGTAATCAGAATCAGATTCTTTATTCATACTGGAGGAATCCGATGAGCTATAAAGTTACTTCCCCACAGATGTCCAGTAACTGAGCAGGCGCTGTGTAAATACGGAGACAGAGTCCCCCTTTTGTTTTACATTGATTTCATCATCATAAGCGAAGGCAGGATATCATTATCCCCATCAGCCATGCTCAATCCACTGCTGGATAAAGGTCTCCCCAAGCCACCGCCGGCCGTAGCCTCTTACGATCCTTCAAGGCAACAACCCGCCCAGCGTGGCGCGAAGGCAAATGTAGTCAAATAGGAACTGTGGAAGTCTTCTATATTGTCCCCCATTCTCTTAGTATCAGGGTATGCGTGTGGCCGTTGTTTTTTAGAGAGAGAGAGGGACGGGGATAAGGCAAAGAAGGTTAGAGCGAGAAATGAAATCGAGAGGGGCGAAGATGAAAAATGAACACGGGAAATAATTTCATATCCATCCAAGTAGTGGCTGAGGCAGCCGGCAATAGCGCGGCTCTGTCCACGTGGGATATCTTGTTCCGTGAGTACATTTGGTGGGAGAACGGAGGGGGGGTGGGGAGCAACCCCCCACAAAATACCACGGTTCCCGTCGGAGTGTTGCAACGGGAGAATGGAAATTTATTGCAGGAAAGCGTCTGCTTTTTATAGCTGACAAGTTTTGTTTTTGTTCTTTTATTTATTTCATTCTCCTCATCCACCCGCAACCCCCCCCCCCCCCCCATTGCCTGAGCCTCTCCTTCCCTGCTGGCCTAAGGCTCGCCGCTCAGCTCTATTCCCAAGCCTCCAAAAAGCCCCTTTTCTTCCAGTCTTGCATTGCACAAACATTCGCCACACTCAGTTGAGAGCGCCGCCTTCTCTGCTCCCAAGCCCCCTCCGCCTGCCCCGTGCTCCTGCCCCACCTCGTTTCTCTCTCCCTCCCCCCTTGGACCGCGGCCAGCATGAAATCCCATCAGTGCCGTGCACTCCCAGGTCAAACTAGTAATTGTCAGATTCTGCAGGCCATCGTTCAGATCGGTGAAAGACTTTGCCTCGACACAAACGCTCGCGCGATCAAGGCTTTTGGCAGACTTCTGCAGAAGGCTCTGAATCTCGGGGTGCTTCTTCGCGTGACCAGAGTGATCCGCAATGCCGAGCGGTTCTGCAACCAGCGATATCCGCCTGTGTGCACGTGTGTGAGCGGCAGTGTCGCGGCCAGCGCGCTGCGCAGTGAACGCCAGCGACCCGAGTTCGATTCCCGCTCACTCCCAACGCCGGTGACGATTATCGCGGTCATTGTACGTTGCTTCGTAATATTACTCCCCACGTTTGACAGCCACCCACAGCGATATTGTGAAGCCATGTTCTTATTGTTTCCACGAGTGTGGCGACCGAGGGAAAGAGCTCAGAGCGGACGGTGGGAGACTGTCGGGGCAGGGTGTGGAGGTCGCTGCGTGTCTACCGTGCAGCAGCAGCTGCGGAATCTGGTGGACAGTAGACAACGTTGGTGAGGTGCGGTGGTGGCTTAGGCCTACGATGGCATCTTGATCTTGTATTGTGAGTGTGCGTGGGGAGCGGTGGTGTAGCGGTTAGCGCGCTGCGCTACGAACCCGGCTCCTCGAGTTCGATTCCCGCTCACGGCCAACACCGGTGACGATTATCTGAACTGCTCCTGGGCCTCCCCTAGGTCGACTCAGCCTCCTCATATATGTACCTGGTGTGATGTATAAACATCATCACTAGGAAGACAAAGGCGGTCGGGCGTGGTGCCGGCCACCCACCTCGTGGTGTGCCGTGCAGGGCTTCATAGGTGGTCGCTCACTGCACTTGCCCCAAAAGTCTGTGAAGGCTACACGGGGGGTCTTTGTCTTTGTGTGAATGTGCAAAAGGGCACTCTGGGGTAGTTGAACAAATTAGGTAATTTCACAGTGACATTTTCTAAATGATCCTAATAATACATGTGGGGTGTAATTTAGAAGGTAATTAAGTGTAATTTTGGAAAATATGCCTTATTTATGGAATAAGTCAACTTTCTGACACATACATGAAAATGAATGCACAATTGCCATCCCAGTGTGGATGAGAGAGAGGTTTATCTTAATAGGCCCCAATCCTGGCATTTTATCAGCATTCCTCACCGCATGAAGGAAGGGTGGGATTAATGATTTCTGTTTTAATTACAGAACTCCTAATTGGTTGATGTACTGTGCTCAAGCAAAAAGTCAACTTAATGAGTTACACTCCTGATTACTCACAATCTTTTTTAGTTTCCGAAATGTATTTAAGGAAGTTGGTGGACTGCCCTGAGGGAAGTCCTCTCTTTCTCGGTGAGTCTGGCTCACAGGAGACTTGTAAGTGATCTCTGATACTTATCACATATTGCTGATTATTATCTTAAAATGTTTCCGAACTGATTAATCATCTCGTTTTGATGATAAGTGCATTGCTGGTATATTGTCAACAAATCGAACCTCGGTGAAGAATAGCTGCGCCCGTGAATACAATATTCCGATGTATTTGTGGAGTCAGCTGTGCGTTGTTTGGCATGATATCCATTTGTTTTGCTCCACACGCTGGGTGCTGTTACAAGGAGCTGAATGCTTAGTTCCTGATAAAGCTCCCAGCACGTGGAGCGAAACGTCGGACCTCGTGTCGGAAAATACGCGGTGCAACCCGAAAACACATTGGAGGGTCTGCATCACACAATCACGAAAAACCTACACAGTCCCATGAATAATGGATTCAACATTTTCCGTGTTAAACCCTTTAATAATTGTTTGACCTCAACATAATTTGTAATGGGCAATTAAATAACATTGCATTATGAGCTATTGGAGTGATTATGCATAAGGCATGTATGCATGTATGTTTAGTACGAAGTTATTTTGTATTTGTTAGCATAATCATCAGCTTTGGTCAATCTACTCCTATGGACCATATAGTAAACCACTGGAGTGTGCGCTCCTTCAACGGAGGAATAATACAACTACACAAACTCGCTCCTGAAGCCCTCTCGCAGGGGCTAGCAGACCTCGACATCGGCATTTATCTCCTGAACGTATTGACATCATTCGCAAGAATGGAATAGAATCCACTTATGATGAAGGCCTTACCAAGACGTCGCCACGTATCACGATCCTGCGATGAATCATTGGTTGCATTCCATAAAACAAAACTTGAGTTTTGCTTGAAAAGACAAGTGCTCTCGTTTTACAAGGGCTAAGGCTCAGCGCTATTAAGTAAGGTAAAGCATGCAAGAGGGAGAATAAAAAGACCATCTAATTGTGACGGCAAACAGGCCCCACTTTTCAGGAAAAGCCAGCACAATTGGTTTTAAGAATTCATCTCTTTTTTTCGTCCGTTACTCTCGGAAGATGGATCACTAATGCCGCCTGGAGGAAGAGAAAATCAAATCAGCCGCGCAGCTTTTTGCTAAATTGTACTAACTGCGCTCTCAGAATTTAACGGCAAATTAGGGCTGACATGTTTCCCTTTTGAGAAATGGCGACATTACGGACGAGGGGAAAGCCTCACCCCCTCCAAACCTTTGTCGGTAAATAATGGAAAACATTTAGAGCAAATTAAAAAAAAACGTAACTTAATTTAGAAAAATGGGAAATTGCCTATAATCATAAAGTACGCTCAAATAAAGCCCGCAAGCAAAATGCAGGGATGCATGAATAGAATGCAAACCGCATGTAAAGTGTTGTGTTGTGATTAAATTATTAAAGAACAGATACCCAGGTCTCTCTTGCCAATGAGACGATCCTGGTCTCCGGAGATCTCGCCTGGTGAAATAAATCAAACGAATGAACAGACGTGCGCATTGGGGTGGAGCGGCTTACAGTGAGCGCGGTGTGTTGTGAACCCGGCGGACCCGAGTGAAATTCCCGGCCACGTCGAACATCAGTGGCGAGCGATGTCAGAACCAGGCCTGGGCTCTTTTCTTTCCCCCTGCCTCCTTAACCACCCTCCACCGACCACACATACGAGCTGCCTATGTGCACACACGCATGTAGACGCACCGCTTGGTTTCAGCCACAGCGGTCCGGGACATCGTTCCATCCTGCCTTGTTTTGCCCTCGGATTATAGGAATGAAAATAGGGTTAAATGATCTATTATTATTTTTTCTACCTACGCAACTTTACCGAAAGAACCAAAGAGTATGGATTCCTGCAGTCACGAAAGCTTCAAATCAAGATTGAGAGTTAAATAATAATAAAGTATTACTATGAAAAGTAGTGACCTTGTACTCTAGTGGGAGTGCCTTACGCCTATAGTGCCTGCTCCAAGCCAGCCGAGCGGCGTCTCCGGAAACTACCGAGTGAGATATTAAGCCCCGTGTATACACGACGGAGCGCTTGATTCTGGTATTAGAAGCTCCTGTGCTTCGTAGCATCACCAGACCACTGAAATAAATGTGACGTCATGCACGTGATGATGGAACGCATGCAATATTTCCGTGACATTCAGCCAGGTTGGTTTGGGGGATTTTTAGATAATTTACTTTACATAATGACGATGTACAAATTTAGCATGTCTTCGTGATGACCAAAGCGACGTACGCCCGATGTCACACGGCGGTCACTTTTTGCTGGGAACAGCACGGGCGTGACGTCGTGAAAAGTGACCTTTCCTCTGACTTGATTTCGGATCGCTCCAAAGCAAAACATTTATTTGCGATCGTCTGACAATATTCATACGCAGGCCTGTATTTTGTTTAATTCTAGATTTGAAGCTTTCGTGACTGCAAGGATCCATACTCTTTGGTTCTATTCGGTAAAGTCACGTAGGTAAATATAAAATAACAAAAAATCACGACGTTTCGGCCACAACACAAGTGGCCTTCGTCAGGTGAAGGGACCGGACTGTCCAGAGGACAGCGTTGGAGTGAAGACAGCAAGCCCAGGTCGCGTCCTTTCAGTTGTGTGGGAGGAAACAACATTTTTTTTTGTTTTCAGATGCATGACTAACACAGTGCATGGCTGCTGTGTGTCGCGGCAGTGTGCTGCAGTGCATGGAGAAAGCCGTTCTGCCCGGGGAGCAGCCGGGAGGCTTCCAGTGCGGAGTGTGCAGTGCCTCATTTGTCTCCGAGTGCAGGTGAGTGCTCCTGAGCTGCTGCACACAATTTGGGCCAACGATGATGATTTCTTATGGCCAATGAAGAGCGAGATGTCGGAGATTCAGTTCTGTTGTGATTGAGTCATTCAGTTGCTTTGTCTGAGGGTGTGGGTGGATGTGCAGATATTCACTCACCCACTCACACAGTCACCCACTCACCCGCCAACTCACTACACACACCCACTTACCCACCCACTTCCTCACCCACTTATCCACCTACTCATCCACTTACCCACCCACTCACTCATCCATCTAAAAACACAACCCACCCACCATCTTCAAATGTACATTTGGGGTAGTGGAAATGTATGCGGTCCATTATTTGGTGTTCGCAGCTTACAGTGGCCTACAGGAGAAAGTCTTTATTTTCCGTGTTCTTCATTCGGATCAATGAGATTCACTTTCTAGCTTCCGATTTCCTGGACGTTGTCCAAACTTCTGGAGAATGTGTTGTGTTCAAACGTACCTCAATCGCCAAACTTCGGTTGCGAAAATCGTTCTTCGCCTTCTTCGCCTGAAACAATCGTAACTGACGCGTCGTTGAACGCTTGTGCACGTGGCCAAGTCATTCGTTTGATTGTGTCGGCTGGTGGAGGGTTCTCATCGACACAAATTGGGACAGACCATTACGTGGCCTCGCCCAAAAAAAAACGATAATGAATCGTAGCATTGGCTGCAGCGACCTACGCGTTAAGATAATTACTTAACTTTGGGAATGTGTTGGGATGCTGCTGTGGTAGCTGCAAGGTTAGCATCAGACAACCGGTGTTCTATAAATTTGTATGGGCACACAGGAAAGGCCGTGTGGCTGGTGGCACAAAACACGTCAAGCGATTTTTATTTCCTCCATTTACTTTTATGACTTTAGATGACAGACTCGGGGAAAACACCTCTCAGCGTGCGTGTTTGTGTGGAATCACCAAATGCGGCCTCATTCCGGCCCGACGGGCACAAGCGCGCGAGTGTTCCACTTGGGACGCCTGGTTCAGAGCGGAGGGTGCCGAGTCACGGCTATCGATGTGGAGGGGGACGCTGTCACCGCGGTGCGATGGTTGGCCGTGCGCCGGACTCGCAATCCGGGGGGTCGCCGCTTCAGTTCGATCTCCCGGTGCGGCAGTTGAAACGATCGGCAAGTTTCTCAAATCCCCCCGTCGCCACCTCCGTCCGATCGACAGCGTAAATGGGCGCGTGGGTACTTCCACCTGTTCCAAGACATCTGCCCACCTTCGAAGAGTGTCGGGTTATTTCCTCTCTTGCGCTCCTTCGAGTAGAGTCACTTCCGCCAGCGACATGGAGCAATTTCCAAACTGCACCTGCACCTTCTACGAAAATGTTCAGGCGCATCCCTCCAATGGTGATATCAGGGAATATTCCTCGACGTTGTTTGAAGTTCACTAAATCCTGCACCACTGCCGAGGACGTCCGACCAGCGTGACGAGAGGAGGATAAATGGCGCTCAATAAGAGGTCCCTCCCCCAAGAGCTCCCCTCTCCCAGGATGCCCTTCTGGCATCAGGGGCTTGGACCAAGTCAATGGTGGGACTGCCGCCCCTTCGCGTGCAGCGACGTCACGGCGCCTCACCGAGCGTCGCGAGCCGAGGCCCCGGTGCGTTTTCAGAGTGAGGAGCGGTTGGTCTCGTGGCGTCGCCGATGGTCGACGTTGGCGAACGCCGAGTGGCCGCGCCGGGGGGAGGGGAGCGGTGTGCCCACCTTGCTGCTGCGCTGCGCGAATGCTGCACAATGGGCCCCGACACGGTCGAGCTGAGTAGCGCTGAGCCACGGACGGCCCTGTCTCTCTATGCCCTGACTGGGGGTGATGGATGGCTGAGGTTGAGGAGACGCCTCCTCTGCAGCCTGCAGGTGATCTCAGATGTCGCTCCGAGACATTTCGCACAAAGGCCTCAGCAGCTCACTTAGAAAATCTCCCGGGCCCGCAAATTGTAACGTCACGCGTGCTTTGAAAGAGTAACAAACGCGTGCCACTGAATCTCGACTCATTCTTCTTCGTCTTCCTATGCCTGTAGTTTAACATTCTGGTGGTTGAGTCAGATAATTGGATCAAGAGTAGCAGAGTGGTGCATCGCTCCTGTGCTGTCTCCTTCGTCTTTGTGAATGAGGGCATTGAACAACTCAATGTCCCATGGCTCTGTTCTGGGTCACCAGAGTCGCGCGATTAAGTGCTAGGATTGGGTGAAACGATATTGCTTGGTTGTTTATCCTATAGTCCATTATTTGATTCAATCTCTGATCCATAGTCCAAATGAACTATGAAACTATTTTTTTTTTACCAGGTAAGGCTCATTCAGCTATGTGGCTTTTGTCCAGAAACGGCCTGGCCACAAATGATAGCAGAACGAAGTGGCTTATCACGTGGACATTTAATCACATCCAAATATCCAAACGCATGTTTATAAATGTGGAGGGAATAACCGGAGGACCCGGAGAAAAGTCCACATGACCACGGGGAGAACATGCAAACTCAAAATGTACAGGCGTCAGGGTAGGAATTCAACCCACGACCTCCTGTATAGTAGGTAAGGTCGTTAACATCTCGCCGCCGTGGCGTCCTGAGCATTCAGGCAGTGCTGATCTCCTCTTTGCAGCCCTGAGCCAATGGTGGAAATTCCCCATTATGTGGAACTTGTTTTGCACCAAACTAAACACAACAAGTAGTTCTCAAAGAAGCAATAATCAGAAGTAGAGAGCACCATTGCACTGCACTCCTGTGATTCTGCGTCTACGCTTCCACGCCTGAACGAACCCACGCTGCCCAACGTGGTGAAGTATGGCCAAGCAACCTCCCATGACCCGCACGGCGTGCAGAGATGCCCTCATCCCGCAGTGAAATGGACAAAAGGGGCTGTACGAGCAAAGTTCATCTCACTTGTTCCGTCTGAGGAGCTGTTTACTTCTGGCGAGCACCTGGGACTTGGCGGAACCTCTCAGCGTAAGGGCGCAAGCATTAGCCTCCTGACCCACACGGCCACCCCACATATTTGTGGATGCGTTGGAAGCCGCGAGGGGGGCCCCCCTTTGTATCACCAATAGCGTGCTTGTGCACGTAGTTCCACGTGCGTCTGAATAGGTTGGCCCCACACGCCTTTTGCCACGAACGAATTTTGGAAAGGCAAGGCCCACCCAGCTATAGAGCTCTTTTTCAGAAGTCACCTGGCCATCACAAATAATAGCCCAATGAAGTGGATTATCACGTCGACATTTCTAGCAGCAAAACACTTTATACGCACGTTTCTAAATGTGGAGGGAAAAACCGGAGGACCTGGGAAGAACACACAAACCACGGGAAGAACACACAAACTCGAAATATACAGCAGCAGGCGTCAGAGTCGGGATCTAACCCACGACCTCCTGCATACCAGGCGAGGTAGTTAACATCTCGCCACCGCGGAGCGTGCTGTGCACGTGGAGATGACATCGCCGTGACGGCGCTCATCACTCCCTCGTGTGAGTCAATTTACAGAAATATCATCGCACGTTTGCAGCCTGCACAAGAGTTTCATTTATTTATTCACGGCTATCAAATTGGCCGCTGACGGGTAGAGAACGTGCGCGAATGAATACGAAACGAAAGTTTCCAACGTTTCAATGTCCACCGCCGGTGAACGAGTAGATGCAGATATTGGTTCAGAGTCAGCGGTCATGAAGCACGATAAGGAACAACTCCGAACGCGCTGAGCTCTTCCCAACTTGTTGAGAGATTCAGTTGAGAACAAAAACTGTCTCTGTTCACGTGCAGTCTGGGCAACAGCAGTGCCGATCACTGCTAAGCACGCGACTGCATTGCCTCCAATCAATTGGATCTCTCCGCAGCGTAATTCACAACCTCCCTCATCCTCCCCTACACCAAGGGCCATCAACCATCACTGCCCGGGCCAAGTTTTTTTCGTGGCAGCCCCCATCGTCTGGAACGTGGCCATCATCCCCGCTGCACATTCACAGCAGCCTGCCTATCGAGCGATTATTGAGTCACGGTCATTGATGTCTGTGAAAATGTGCGCACGTTACGGGTTGCATCATTGTTATTTTTTTAACGGGCGATCCATTATTTGCAACCAATGCCGTTATGAAATGGCGTGTATGAGGGTGGATCAGGCTGACTACTTGACGCTGGTGAGAAGGCCGATGAGATTCATGATGAGCAATAAGTAACTTGGAGCAGTGGCAGCATGGGCAGAGTTGTCGAGGGGGCAATTACCCTCCCAAACTGGACACCTTTATTAATGTATTTTCAGTAGTTTACAATTAAGATATGCACGCGCTATTCATAATGTGAAGGACAAAGCGAACACCTGCCCCCCCCCCCCCCCCAGATATATAAAATCCACTCACCTCGACTGACCTGCGGCAAGTTGCTCCCACCACCAGCCCACACGCGTCCCTGTTCACCTATCCGCTACGCGAAATTGAAACAGAGCTCACGTCACACGCGGAGCTATTGTAAATGGTGGACTGGATGACCGGCATTTAGGCAGATATTGGCAAATTATATATATTTATTGGGTCCTCTGAGAAGGGCCCTCGCCACCCAGTGGGCACAAGATGTTGTCCCAAACAAGAACGGCGCTGAAGAGGCGGTGAAACAACAACCCTCGGTTCTCTCTGTAGCCCTGACGAAAGTGAGGACCGCTCTCAGCCACGTCGCAACAACAACAACACGTGGAGGAAGGAAGTGTGTGAGATATTTCCTTCATAAATGGAATGATCATGGACTCGCCAAACTGCGAACGAGGTGAGGCGCAAACCATCAGGCGTTTATCACCGATGACTCCCCAATACAACGTGTGTACTCTGGTGGAACGAGCAGACTCCACTCAGCTACCCCAATACAACGCGCGTGCTCTGGTGGAACGAGCGGACTCCACTCAGCTACCCCAATACAACGTGTGTACTCTGGTGGAACGAGCAGACTCCACTCAGCTACCCCAATACAACGCGCGTGCTCTGGTGGAATGAGCGGACTCCACTCAGCTTCCCCAATACAACGTGCGTACTCTTGTGGAACGAGCAGACTCCACTCAGCTACTCTGGATGCCGTGGAATGGCTCACAACATGAACAAGACAGTTGTATCTTGTGAGTGTTTTTTTTTAAATACCATACGAAATAAGAAGATCTGGTCAAAATACATGACAAGTTCGCAAGTCCCTGCATTCTTTGAAATTGGCAGAGTAGTAGAGCAGAAGTTCTCCGGACAAACATTTATGCCTAATAATTAGCTGCTGTATTATCTTTATTATACAGGAGATTACCCTATGTATATATGTATGCATGTTCAACTTATTTTGCACCATACGTAGCCAACCGTGTTAATCCAGAGGTCTAACAATGACACAGATGCAACAATTACGCAAACTTTAAAACAATTTTAATGACAGACAAACAACCTGCACGTCCTTGGGACGTCACCATCCGTCCGTCCCTCTCAGCCAACCAGCCAAGAAAACTTTAAATTTCATCTAGAGCTCTCTCTCCACCTTTCTCTTGCCTTCTCTGCGCTGTAGATACCAATCTATCTCGATTTCTGACGTTGTCTCTGTTACCAGCTGTTTATCTCTTCCTCTGTCGCCTCTGCGACCTCTCCATCCCTCGATATTCCTCTCTTGCCTCCACCGCTTCTCTCTCACTTCTCTCCAATCTCTCTCCCTGTTTCTCTCTCACTTCTCACGCTTGCTCTCCTTATTCACACCTCTCCATTGCTCGTCTCAATCTCTCTTGCATCTCCCTTATCGTCCCTCCCACTGTCACTTTCCCTCTCCCTTTCCTCTCCATTTCACTCCCTTTCACTCTCTCCCCGCCACCCTCTCCATTCCTCTCCATCTCTTCCTCCCTCCTCAATCTTCCTCCGCTATCTCCCTCCCCTCACCTCCCTGCTCTTATCTCTTTCCTCCATTATAATTGCGTGTGGGGGGGGGGGATGCATGACAGTGGGATGCGGGGTGGTGTCATCACGCAGCTGTACGTGGCGGCGACGTCACCGCAGCGCAGTGGCACTTGGGCGCATGCCAGCCAGGAATTCAGGCAGGAACCCAGGCAGAAGTCCAGCCCAAAAAGCGTTTTTTGTTTTGTTTCATGTAGTATGAAACTTGAAATGTGTTTGCTTAAAGACAACAAGAAATTATATTTCCAAACAACTCCCCATAGCTTTTAGCAGCATTGTGCTAAGTCTCCAGATGAATACATTTTAATATCTTCTCTGCCTGCCCTCTATTCCCCCCCCCCTCTCCCACCCCCCACCCCCCACAGCTTGGAGCAGCACAGGGAGGCGTGCCGGAGGGATGCACGCTTCGTGTGTAAGGCCGAGCGCTGCGGGAAGCGCTTCAAAAGCAAGGACACGCTCAAGAAGCACAAGCAGAACGTGCACCTGGGTGAGGGGTCGCATCGTCGCCCTGCACTGCACTGCACCGCCCTGCACTGCACTGTGCAGCACTGCATCACACTGCACAGCCCTGCACTGCACCGCACAGCACTGCACAGCACCGCGCTGCACTGCACTTCACCGCACTGCACCGCACAGCACCGTGCTGCACTGTACTTCACCGCGCTGCACTGCACTTCACCGCACTGCACTGCACCGCACAGCACCGCGCTGCACTGTACTGCATCGCACCGTGCTGCACTGCACTTCACCGCACTGCACTGCACTTCACCGCACTGCACTGCACTTCACCGCACTGCACTGCACTTCACCGCACTGCACTACACTGCACCGCACAGCACCGCGCCTTTCTAAATGGGGAGGGAAAAACGGGAGGACCCGGAGAAAAATGCACACGACCACGGGGAGAGAGAGAGAGAGACATCCAAACTCCAAGTATACAGCAGCAGAGGGCGTCAGGGTCGAGCCATGCTCTCCTGTATACCAGGCGAGGTAGCTAACATCTCGCCGCAGTGGTGCCCCAAATTGAATCAAACCGGCGACTTCTGGATTGCAAGTCCAGTGTGCCGACAGACACACCACTGTGGCAGCATCCTGGTTTAGTATAGAATGCGTTTTGGGGGGTTTTGCAAAGGGCGAATGTTGCTATGCACATTCTTTAGTTCGGAAAGGAAAATAATAGATGGTGAAATTAATAAAATGTTTCCATACGTACAGCGCTACTGGCCGTTTTAGTAAATATAATTGAAGCTCAATCATAATAACCCATTTGTAACAGAGTATTAGCGCTGAATCTGGTCAGGCAGTCGTATAATTGTGATACAAATGTGATTCAGATCGAGTGTGATATTTGCTAAGCGGGTTTCAGACAGATAAAGGTTGAGATAAGCGGAGCACGAGATAAGTGGGATTAAATAGGAATTTTATCTGGGGGGTCGCCAACATTTTATTGTTCGTGGAAAGGTTTTTAAAAGGGCATGGTAATCCTTATATAGGGATGACAGGATGAGGATAAGTCAGAGATTTAGTCAGATGGCATCTATTTGGAATATTTTTGTGTTTTCTCCAGTGCATTCAAGGTGTTTAGAAAAGTAATAGACTTCATTTCTTTACTCACCCATATTTATTAAATATGAAAATAAATCGCCAAGAGGTGGCTAGGTGACTCAGAGGTCAAAGGTCAGAGGTCAGAGCATGTACCACTGATGTCCTCGGGTCGGATCCAGGCAGCTGCTGGTGATTAAACCGGCTTCTCGGGTGCAGTGAGTTGATGTTGTCAGCTCCGGTTACAAAACAACAAAAAAACCCTGATCACATTAATCTTGGTTCTGCGCTTAATGTGCCGGAAAAAAAAAATCTTGCTCTTAGAATCATAAAGCATTTGTATTGGAGTTATTGTCATTATATGTATGTGTGCTCCGTCTGACGGAATCTTCTCAGCACTTGGAGCGAAAACGTCAAACGGAATCTCCAGAAAAGTGTGTCAGGGGGCTGTATACCACGATCGCGAAAACCTACGCAGCCGTGTACGTTCCTCTCCGCTTGCCAAATCTAAACTAAACTGTTTATTATTTTACCTGGTAGGGCCCACTGACCTATATAGCTCTTTTTCAAAAGTGACCTGGCTATCATAAATGATGACCCAACGAAGTGGCTCATCGCGTGGAAATTTATAGCAGCCAAATACTCTTAATGCATGTTCATTCCAAATGTGGAGGGAAAAACCAGAGGACCCGGATGAAAAATCCACACGACCACGGGAAGAGAGACATGCAAACTCGCAATATACAAGTTCAACATACAAACATCGCACGCTGCCACAGTGGTGTAAAAGTCAACACACCGGACTTGCTATCCAGCCGGTTCAATTCCATATCCCTGCGCGGCCGTTGAAACATTGAGGCAAATTTCTAAAATCCCCCCACCCACTTCCCGCCACCACCATCACCACCACCACCACCACCCATTTCCACCCAGCAGTGTAAACGGATTCCACCACAGTTAGCTGATCGGCAAGTTGTGTGCGTGCGTGCGGTGGGGTAAATTGTGGCTACTCCCACACCTCTTCCAAGACGTCCGGCTATCGTGGAAGAAGAGGTTGAAGATGTCCAAAAGGTCTCTGTTGGAGCTCCCTGTGGTGGAGGCCTTTCTACCAGCAGCGGCGTGAGAAGTCATTGCGAAAGAAGTTCAAAATGCGTACACACATCCTTATCCCATGCGTACATACATACAACGGCGCCACACATCAGTGTGACGCGGCTTAACGAGAAGCAGAGCGGGTACAGGGCCTCGCATCAACCGCAAATGCGACGTAATTTTATTTTCCAATCTGCTGCCTCTCCTGACTTTCAGAACATTGGCGAAAACGCAAGCGCTTGATCATTCCCTTTTGAGGTCCATCGTTACAGACATCCGTCCAGCCGTGTCCTCGCCAAAGGGTTGAGGACCTCTCCTCCAGGGGAAACTGCTCACCGCTTACCAAAGAATGTGCTTTTGTTTCGTTTCATTTAAGTGATGCCGGTGGTAAAGGGTTTTAAAAGGGGAGTTAAGGATGAACTTACACGAAAAAGTACCTTTAGATTTTGTCAGACCGCTATTCCTGTTAAAACGCAGCTGAATAATTTTTTTTTTTTTTTTAATAGAGCTGCCAATAAGCAACGACTGTCATGCCAAATCACTGTTAAACATCCAAGATCATTAGACCATTGGTATAATTAGAGCATGGGAGGTCTGCTGATATGGGAAAATTAAGGTGGATGAGTTTGAAAGCTCCTGAATCAGCAGGTGAAGGGAAATGTAAGAGGCAGTCATGAATTGTCAAAGGTCAGAGTGAATTCAATTCAGCATTGAGTGGTCGTTTCTTTTATCAACCCCGGAGGGACGATGATGATAATAATGATGGGCTCAGCCAACCCCCCCGAATCAGTATTTGAACTCATCATCCTCCGGTAGCGAGCCGCTCGCCCAGCCGCTGAGCTGCGCTCTCAGTGCATCTTTCCTGCGCGTTGGTTCGCAACGCCGCGATGGCGCGATAGCGGCGCTTGCATCCGGTACAAGCGCGACTTCTACACAGGTCAGCGCGCGCACCAGCGATGGCACTTACACGGCACGTAACCATTCTGTTCCTTTCATATCGCAGAAGGGCCTAACTCGCGCGATCAAACCCCATTATTAACAAACATTAAAGTCCGGGTTCATTTCACGAACAAGGGCGTGCTTCAGAAATGTTTATGTCGCTCATTTATTAACCGCCCAATTATTCTATATGCGTGCCAAATTATTTATGCCGATGCCACCTGTTTTTGATTTTCCTCCGAGAGTGAAGTGGGGGGTGGGGGGGCGTGGTACTTGGCAGACTTGGGGGGGGGGGACTGGGAGGGACGGGGGGGGGACCGGGGGGGGGTGGGAGGGGGCACGTGGGATGTGGGTTTGTAACGCGCCGGTGAAGCGGGGCCCGCGCCTGGCCGTTAACGCTTTTCGACGCGCAAATTGCTTGCCGAACCATTTCAGCCAATAAAATAATAAAGGGAAAAAACAAGGAGGAGGAAAAGGAACAACAACAAAAAACTGAAAACAGACGCACTTGGGAATTGTTGTTAAGTTTTCTCCCGAGCCATCGGCGGCCGTCATGTGGCACGGAAAGGATTTTCGACTTCTGAGAGCCCCGTCTGAGCGCGAGCCCCCCGGCACAACGTATCAATCCGTTTCTTGTGGGCCGAGCCGGCCTTTACAACTGCTCGTAGGATGGGTGCATATCTGACGGCCCCTCCTTCCGAGATATCTCGTGAAGAACGAATGATCCGGGGAATTGGAGGCGTGGGGCATGTATGTATGTACACGCATGCATGCCCCACGTATGTATACTGGTTGGGGAGAGGTGGGCACATGCTGGTGACCGATTGCGCGATGTGTTGTTTCCGCAGGGAGCTCTCGCAAGAGACCGGCCTGCAACATCTGCAACAAGAAGTTTTCCTCTTCAGATATTCTTATGGAGCACAGGAAGGTAATGGATTCATTTGACATATATACGTCGTGTGTGTTGCCCCAGTGCTGGTTTATGGGAATGCACCTCAATAAAGCGGATGCTGCCACAGTGGTGTAATGGATTGCATGCTGGACTTGCAATTCAGAGGTCGTCGATTCGATTCAACCTCTTGGTGCGGCATGGCGGTGAGATGTTAACTACCTCGGATGGTATACAGGAGGTTGTGGATTCGATCCTGACCCTGATGCCTGCTGTATATTTGGAGTTTGCATGTCTCTCTCTTCCCGTGGTCACGTGGATTTTTCTCTGAGTCCTCTGGTTTTTCCCTCCACATTTATAATGGACACACCTTCAGGGTATTTGGCTACTATAAATGCCCACTCGACGATAATCCACTTTGTTGAGGTTATCATTTGTGGCCAGAACAAAGAGCTATACAGCTCAGTTGGCCGTACCTGGTAAAATAACAAATAGTTTAATATTCTTGGTTCTTTCGGTAAAGTCACGTAGAAGGGAAACAATAAAATTATAAAAGTATAAAACAATACAATTCTCACGACGTTTCGACTGCAACACAAGCAATCATCATCAGGTGTGAAAACCACAGCAAAAAAATTGAAAAAAGTGGCGTTTTTTAACGTTTATATCACGGAAAGCGATTTGGCAGTTATTCAGATGGACGAGTCCATCTATGTTCGGAAAAGAAGAGGGGGGAGACAAAAATAATGGATGCGGTCTGAAAGCCACCGCAAGCGTGAACAATCAATTAAGACCCGAAATGGTTTATCAAATCCTTCTAATGATTGCTAAACCATAATCCATCTTCTCGGTTGAAATTGTCTCTGTGTTTGTATATGTGGATAGCCTCATGAACGAATCTCATGGTAGCCAGATGGCTTGCAAAGAACCTCTGTCTTGGAGAAGTCAATGTCATGTGAACCTACTGAATTATAACAGTGATCTGCCACAGCTGAGGTGTTGGTCCTACTGTGTTTTAGGTCTGCTTTGTGTCCACGAATGCGGTCCGAGACATGTCGTTTGGTTTCTCCAATGTAACTACTACCACAGAGGCAACTTAGTTTGTAGACGCCAGGGTACTGTATGTCCGGATCACATCTTTTACAGACGGAACCAGATCACGGATTTTATTTAATGTGTTGAATCGGACCTGGATCTTGTGTTTATTGAAGATTTTGGAGATCTTTTTTGTGATCCCCGCAATGTAGGGTAAAGTGATGGTTTTGAAAGGCTCCTCAAGAGGGTCCTTCTTCATGGTTGGAGTGATAGCTTTGCGGATTGTGTAGTCGGAATAACCATTAGCCTTAAGAGCTTGGTGTACGTGCTTGAGTTCACTGGCTATGTGTTCCTGGTCGGATATGCATTGGGCTCTATGGTGCAGAGTCTTGATGAGGGAATTCTTCTGGGATGGATGATGGTGGGAATCTGGTTTCAGGTAAGCATCCGTATGGGTAGCTTTCCTGAAGACAGAGTAGCTCATTGAACTATCAGGTCTCTTTTTAATTAGGACATCCAAAAAAGGTAGCTTGCCATGTTTTTCGACTTTCAAATTTCAACCGAGAAGATGGATTCTGGCTTAGCAATCATAGAGAAGGATTTGATAAACCATTTCGGGTCTTAACTGATTGTCCATGCTTATGGTGGCTTTCAGACCGCATCCATTATTTTCGTCTCCCCCCTCCTCTTTTCCGAACATAGATGGACTTGTCCATCTGAATAACTGCCAAATCGCTCTCCATGGTGCTAACGTTAAAAAAACTCGCCACTTTTTTCAAATTTTCTTGCTGTGGTTTTCTCACCTGATGATGATTGCTTGTGTTGCAGTCGAAACGTCGTGAGAATTTTATTGTTTTATATTTTTATTATTTTATTGTTTCCCTTCTACGCAACTTTACCGAAAGAACCAATAATATGAATCCCTGCAGTCACAAAAGCTTTAAATCAAAATAGTTTAATAGTTTAAATTATGTGAGCCCAGTATTTATGCAGGGATAATTTTGCCGATGTGAAAACGAGTGGAAATTCCAGGAACATTTTCCACTTGTCAGGTTCCATCCCGAGAAGTCACAGTATCTGCTCTGGTCACGTCTGTTGAGCCTCTTCTCTGGGTTTGACACGTTGGAATTCTAAACACAAGTCACCGACAAAATGATCTTGCATCTGTTTGGTTTTTTCTTCCTTCTTGAGTATTTATTCACCGATGCATTTTGTTCTTCCCCCCCCGCCTACCCGTTGCTAACTTTTTAGGTCCATGAGATTTTCGACTGCCAAGATTGCGACAAAAAGTTCATTTCGGCCAATCAGCTGCGTCGGCACATGATCACGCACTCAGGTATGTGACAGAGCCTCTGTTGGGCGGACTTCAAACCAAAATGCCTCGGAAGAAGCATTTAGACCCAGCGAAGTAACCTTTTGAAACCCCGTGCACTTACAAAGGTGTCCTTTTTTTTTTGGGTGGGGGGAATTTCGTGTTTTCTTTGGATTTTCGCACTGAAAGCGTCGCCTGTTTGCAGAGTTCTAAGTACGGTTCACGTCAAATTGGCGTTGGCCAAACAAAACAATTCAACGACACAGGTTCGGACTTTACACCACGTGGAAGTAATGGTGCCAAATTCCTGGGGCAAGGTAACAGTCATTTTTGTCAATATTTTGCCCTGTCAGACTCGGGGGGAAAAAATAATAATGTGCAATTTAATGCCGTGTTCTCTCTCTCTCCATTGTTTAATAGTTGTGTTGAGGGTTTATGAAGGTAATTTAGAGTAATTTTTGTATATTTCATGAGCGTTTGGCTTCATTTGACCTGACATCATGGAACTAAGTATAACATCTTTAGTGTATTTAAAGGCTACCCAGTCCGGATCAGTTAGCTTGGACTTGGCGGTAAGAATTCTAGAGGACCGAATGGAAGTCGTGCTTCGTGTGAAGTATTTTTTTTAAGCAATTTTTCAACTCTGGGTAACTCAATAGCTAAGAGCGCGCAGACGACACTTGGAGGAGTGGAAAGCGTTTTAAAGGAACTCTTTCTCTCAATTCCTCCACCCCCCACCCCTCGTGGCCCTCAGGTTCATTGAGGGCAGCGTATCTCTCCATCTTGAACTTCCTCGCCTGCTCAATGCTGGGCCACCTTTTAAAGAGAGCAATGTGATCAGTGAGCGTTTTCTGTGCCTTAAGCCGCCCCCCCCCCCCCCCCAAATTCCAAAGGGATCGTCCCAGTGCAGCCAGCCTAGGAGTGGGTTCTCACACGTGGTTACCTTGCCGGGGATGTCACCATTAACAGCGTACAACAACAACAGATCATGGAAAGTGGAGAGAGCTACAACTGAGCGTGTTGTCTTGAGTGGTGTATTGTTATTATGATTTATGTATATATATGTATGTGTGTATGTTGAACTTCTTGTGCACCGTACTTAGCCAACCCTGCTACTCGGATGTGCTGGAGGAGGACAACAAACTAAACACAAAAAGGAGTTTTAAAGAAATTAGTTTTCATTCAGCAGCCTCCGAGTTCTCGATCGAACATTGTACCTGATCCGTGAAATACGCAAGCGTTATAAATTGTGTTCATTGTTACGATTATTATTATTATTGTTACCGCACATCTCGGTGCAAACATTGCATTGGATAACAAAAAGTAGGAACCTGACATTTGACAAAAAACGGGAATATATATTTTTGTATGTCCCGAGAAGACCTTTGGTTTTCCCAGGACAGCTACGTCAACAAGAGGACGATCCTAGGAAAAACCAGGACATCTGGCAACTCGAGTGCCTGCCTATGCCGATCCCTTCCTTTTTGTGTGCTTGCAAATCTATAACTCACGCAACCCTCCGCAAATCCTATTGAGTGGACGCCACGCTGTAGCTTTACGTGAAGCAATTATTTTGCTTGCATGACTTCAGAGTTCTAAGTGAAGCAAAGCTTAAATCACGGCCATTCTGATAAAGTGGGGAGGCCTTCATACGGCAGTGGATTGACAGAGAACTCTAAATTAATGTTATGGTTTTCATTGGCATTTCATCATCTGACAGTTATTATATTTCCACATGGTTCTAAAACGCGTGTGTGTGTATATGTGTATTAGGGGAGCGGTGGTGTAGCGGTTAGCGCGTTGCGTTACGAACCTGGCGACCCAAGTTCGATTCCCGCTCACGGCCAACACCAGTGAAGATTATCTGAACCTGTCCTGGGCCTCCTCCCCTAGGTCGACTCAGCCTCAAATGAGTACCTGGTGCGGTGTGTAAACATCGCCACTAGGAAGACAAAGGCGGTCGGGCGTGGTGCTGGCCACCCACCCCCTCATGTACCATTCCAGCCTTCATAGGTGCTCGCTAACAGCACTTGCCCCTACAGTCTGTTAAGGCTATATGGGGGATCTTTGTCTTTGTATTAGGGGAGTGGTAGTGTAGTGGTTAGCGCGTTGCGTTACGAACCTGGCGACCCAAGTTCGATTCCCGCTCATGGCCAACATCAGTGAAGATTATCTGAACCTGTCCTGGGCCTCCTCCCCTAGGTCGACTCAGCCTCAAATGAGTACCTGGTGCGGTGTGTAAACATTGCTACTAGGGAGACAAAGGCGGTCGGGCGTGGTGCTGGCCACCCACCCCCTCATGTACCGTTCCAGCCTTCATAGGTGCTTGCTAACAGCACTTGCCCCAACAGTATGTTGAGGCTATACGGGGGATCTTTGTCTATGTTTTGTACTAGGGGAGCGGCCGTACTGTGGTTAGACGCCGTGCTACGAAACCGTAGACCCGAGTCCAATTCCCTCTCGTGACCAAAAACACATTTGTCAATGGCTTAAAAAAAAAGGTACATAGCGGGTGACGTTTCAGGCAGTGGCCTTGTTCACAACACACAGAGAGAGGCCAGAGATGAGCTCTCTGGCTGGCTTCTCGTGTTGTTGTTTATTGTGTTGAGTTTGTTGTTGTTGTTGTGCACCACTGCCAACTCAGCAGTAGCAATAACATCGCTAAATATGACGCTATGCGCCATTTGAGTGGCTGTCACGATGCGTGACACGTGGCTTCGTCATTTGCGATCATCTATTGGAAACGGTCGCGATTGTGTGGCGTGCGATGAGATGCGCCGGGGGTCACATCCTCGCTCGCACAGCACGCAAGGCGCAGGGGGCCATATGCGAAACGTAAAAAAACAAACCTAAATATTTACTCAGAAAATATTTACAAGCAGCGACACTCCCCGAATTTATACCACAGCTGTCATGCACATGCACGTGCCAAAAACATCTATGCGGGTATTCGTCATTTATTCGTTTTGCATGCAAGCACACGTGTATTGGACGAAGATCCCTTGTTGGGGAAAGGGCTGTTAGCGAGTAGCACCTATGGAGGCTGCACAGCACATTGGAGGGTGGGTGACAGCCCCACGCCTGGCCACCTTTATCTCTCCGAGTGGCGATGTTTACACACCGGACCACGTGCTCATTTGAGGCTGAGTCGACGCAGGGAAGGCCCAGGACCGGTTCAGATAATCATCACCGGTATTGGCCGTGAGCGGGAATCGAACTCGGGTCGCCAGGATCGTAAGGCAGCGCGCAAGTTGCTACACTACTGTTCCCGTGTATACACGCACACGTGTGTATACACGCACACGCGTGTATACACACATACACACACCCAAATAGAAATACATAAACGCATGCACAGTTGCAACATCCACAATTCACAATGTGTACACACAGATGGCCAAGCTTGCACATGGCATGTAGCCATGTATACACACTGACGTTCTCCATCTGTGTCAGCTATGTTTACATTATGAATATATTTAGTCAAAAATTGAGCTTCCTCTTTGCTATACAGCTGATAGTCACGCACCTGTCCAGGCTGCTCCTGTAGAAATCCAGTACTGTTATTGGATTTTTGTTTTACCCCTTCTTCATTCGTATTCCGTTTGAAATTTGTACGTTTAAGGTTCTGAGCCATTCCACGGCATCCGGGGCAGCATCTGAATGAAGTCTGCTTGTCTCACCAGAGTAATATTAACGTGATGTTAACTTAAGAGTCTTAGCGTGATTTTCTTCTCAATAAGCGATTAGGAGTAGCTCAGAGATATCTCTACAAGCAGGAAGCACACCGCAGTGAAGTAGATCACCAGGTTGGCGTGAGCAAGGGATTGCAGGGCTGCTCATTTGCCAGGGGGCACCGTGGCAGTCAGATGCTGACTACTTCGCCCGGTATACAGGGGGTTGTGGGTTTGATCCCGACCTTGTCACCTGCTGTATATTTGGGGTTTGCGTGTCTGTCTCTCTCCCCGTGGTCACGTGGATTATTTTTTGGGTCCTCCGGTTTTTCCCTTCACATTTAGAGTCAACATCAAGCGTTTAGAGTATTTGGCCGCTATAAATATCCACGTGATAAAAAGCCGCTTCGTTGAGCTATCATTTGCGATAGGCAGGTCGCTTCTGAAAGAGAGCTACTCAGCTCGGTGGGCCTTAGTAAAAACATTTCTTTTTTTGTTCAAAAAACCTCCTTTTCCCAAGCTCTGCAAGCTTGGAGCTCGTTAGCAGGACAGCGTGTGTCAGCGTAACCTTGCCCTGCGTGAACCCGCAGCGTCATAAACAGGCCGGCCCGCTGGGCCCACGTTTCTTCATCTTTTGTTTTTTTCTGCACAGAGCCAGCCCTGGTTGTGAGGGCCGCCCCCCCGCCCCCCCGCCCCCCTCCCCCCCCAAGACGGTCTTGATGTTTGTTTTGTTGTTGTTGTTGTTGTCAAAGGGCAACGCAGCGTGGAACCAACAGGTCGTCTGGTCATTCACCTCCTTGAGTTAGATGGTTCCTCTTCGATTTTAAACCACGTTGACATTTTCACAGATGTAATATTTCGGGCTGCTTTTGTGGCATCTGTACCGTTGCGTTGCTATAACAGGTGCGTGATTTGCTTGCTTTGCGATGTTTCTGTAGTTTGTCAAGAGCCTACTTTTTAGAGCCTATTTTAGGATTTAGATAAACACTGTGGGTCTGTGTCTGTGTGCCTCTGTGTCTATGTGTGTGTGTGCCTTTGTCGACGTCTGCGCTTAGTCTGTTGTCCTTCCCCGCCCCCCGCACACCTCCGATGAGCACGGTTGGCTACGTACGGTGCGAAAGAAGTTCAACATCTACACATACATTCAAACAGCGCACGCTGCCACAGTGGTGTGATGGTCAACACACCGGACTTGCCATCCAGCGTGTTCAATTCCATCTCCCGGTGCGGCATTTGAAACATTGTAACAAGTTCCTAAAATCCCCACTCCCCGCCACCACCACCCATTTCCACCCAGCAGTGTAAACGGGTTCCACCACAGTTAGCTGATCGGCAAGTTGAGTGCCTGCGTGCGGTGGGGTAAAGTGTGGGTACTCCCCCCCCCTCTTCCAGAAGGGCTCTGTTGGAGGTCTCTGTGCTGGAGGCCTTTTTGCTGCCAGCAGTGGCACGAGGAGGCAATTTGCCGGGCTCCACCTTTACCACGTTCCACACAATCTATAAAATCGGTGACTTTTCGGGAAATGGCTCGTCTTCATAGCACATGAAGAAGGTGCTATTAAAAAGAGGGCCATTGCCTGGAACTTTGTCTATTATATATTCCATTTAAGGTAGCACGGCGTTATTGTTCTTGATTGTGCTCGTGCATAAACAAAATTATTTCCTTGCCGTTTTTATTACCTCTGCTTTTTTACGATCAAACCAAAGATAACTTTTTTTTTTTTACCCGTGTCACCACCGCCTTGTGTTTTCCTCAGACATCGCTCTCTGCCCTGGCTGTGCTGGTCGAATGCAGATATTAACAGGACTAAATCCCGACCCTCTTCCCCTGCACACGTGACATGTTTTACGATGCTGCATCAGCAGAGCTTTAGATTCCTCCTGATTGCTCTGGCAACAAATGGGACGGTGGGTTAAACGGCCCCATCGTGTCGACAGTCTTGTGTATGTCTGCGTCAGTGTGGGTGGGTTTCATTTTTTTCATCTTTTCTACGACCGCACGCATTACCCGCAAGAACCGAGCACGGGTTTTCGAACGATCAGTCACGTTCTATATTTGGAACTCGCCGAGGGGTCTCGTCGGGGGTGGGGTTGTGACGCCGGTGGTCGACTCGCTCGCCCCACTTAAACCCCGGCAGACCCGAGTTTTAGGAGTCACCCGCCAACCGCTTAACTTGAGTGGCCGTGGGTAGGTAGGGCAGGCGGCGCGCCAATCGCGCGGTTTTCCAGTTTACAATTCTGGTCGGGAGTTGAGTCGGCCCATCATCCCTCTGGTGTTGTTGAAGTGAGGTACCACTGTGAGGGGGAGTCGACAGTGGGTTGTCCTACGGAGAGACTCGCCCCCCTCACCAGATGAACGTGGAATCTCCACCACTGGCTCTTGCGGAGCTTTAAGTGGGAGGCGAGCAGGGAAATCGCTTTGACTTTTTAGACTATGAAACCGTATACCAAGTAAACATGGAACGTTGGGTCAACGTTGGTCCAACGGCCACAACCGCTTGCCAACATTGGCCCAACTTTGACTGGTTTACTGGGTAGTCTCACAGTGTTGTTTGTAGTTACAAGCACAAGTTTAACTCTTACGGCAAGAAAAGAGCGTGATTGGATGTGACTGCCATTTGCTCCGTGTGAATGTCGATATATTGTCCACGTTACCCGCGCGGCCGTTGCTAGCCGCGCCGCTTGCGCGACCGCGTGAACTGTAACGAGGTCGCGTGAGCGCGACGCTCTCGTGAACGCTGTAACCGCGGGGTGCGCAATCCCGTGTGGTGGACAGAGAAGCGGCCGTTCAGCTGCGAGGTGTGCGGCAAGTCCTTCAAGCGGCTGGACCAGGTGGCATCGCACAAGGTGATCCACAGCGTCGACAAGCCCTACACCTGCAAGCTCTGTGGCAAGGGATTCGCACACCGCAACGTCTACAAGAACCACAAGAAGGTACGGGGCATGGGGGGTGGGGGGGGCGGGCGGCACCGCAGGTCCTACCGGTTGTGAGTTTGTTTGATGTTTTTAAAAAAAATTCACACCGTTACGAAGATCCGTCCCTGGGGACAGACGAAGGTGGAGAGAGACGAGAGTCGTGGCATCCAACGAAGAATAACAAGTCGCCCCAGCTGTCCTCGCCAGCCTGACTAGCATCGGGAACATCTGGGCAACCCCAGCGGAGATGCTCTGCAAATGGCCAAGAGAGTCAACGTGACTTATTTCACAAATGAGCATTGATTCAGTCGGTGCTCACCTCCTGTTCTACTGCCCCCAGTCCCTATGGCTTGAGGCCAATTTATGCATAGGACAGCCACCAGGGCACCGCGGTGGCTAGGAGATGTTAACCCTCTCGCCTGGTATGCAGGAGGTCGTGGGTTCGATCCCGACCCTGACGCCTGTATTTTTGGAGTTTGCGTGTTCTCCCCGTGATCGCGTGGATTTTTTTCCGAGCCCTCCAGTTTTTCCCTCCACATTTAGAAAGGTACGTTCAGACGATTTTGACTGCTATACGTTTTTATGCGACAAGCCACTTCGTTGAGCAATCTTTTGTTGCCAGGTTGCTTCTGACAAAGAGCTACAGGGTTAAGTGGGCCTTACCTGGTAAAAATTAAAATAGTTTAGATTTGTAATTTACCGTTTGACTTCCCCACGATGTGATCCTCATTTGATCAACCCTCGCAAGGATTATAGGCTGAGTTGACCACCCTCCCACCCCCTTAGCCTGGATTTTTAACTCGCAACTTTACGATTGTGAAGTTGCTCGCTCAACCGCTGAGCCAACAGGCCAGATGCTGTGAGCGCATTTAATAAAGATTTCAGAAGAAGCATTTTGAACATTTGCTGTCCGTTTTTATTTTACCTCCTAAATAATCCGCAACAATGAACGATACTGTCTCACACTAAGCTGATCTTGTCCTGCACATGTTTCTCAGCTGCATCTTAATATGTTCCTCTCTCTCACCCCTGTGCCTGTCCCTCTGTCTGCGAGTCTCCTATGTGTTTGTGAGTCTCGTACATTCATTCTCCCCATCTGCATTGCACATCACAGAGACGTAGACCCCAGTGGGTGTTCACTTCAGCCAAGTCTCGAAATCCAGCGAAGCGTACATCTGCACAACAGTTTGAATAAATAATACGTGCGCAAGAGAAGGATGTTTTTTTTTTTTACTGGAGACTTCTTTTCCCCGTGTCCACTTCACATCTATGGGCCCACGCGCTACGGGGGGGGGGGGGGGGGGCGCCACTGAAGCGAGCAAAAATAATTCCAGGGCGGCGGGCTCACCTTCAAAGTGAAGTTCCTCAACCTTGTTCCGAAGCCAGCCGCATCGCTCGAGTTACCGGTCCTGAAGCCGCTATCTCATATTCCTGTCGACGGCGAGATTTGTACGATCTTCACGGAGCACCTACGCAGGTTTTATTTTTAATTATCAAAGCCCGTTTTTTCGAGGTTAACTCTGCCTCAATGTCATTGGTCCAAAGGAGATACTGTATCATCGCTTTCCGCGCTGTTTGCTTCTAGGTGTTCATTCTTTCAGCTGCGCTCACAGGAGGTACAAGAGCTTGGCTTAGAAGATAAAAAATGTCTTTTTTTCCGAAAATGATGGCCCTCACAATGTGTGAACAATCCACTCTGCCTGAAGTGCCTTGCCTGTGACAATGAAAGCTATTTTGCATTGCTACGTCGTGTGGAATGTTGCCGTGGCCCAATAAGTGAGCGCACTGCATTCAGAGTTTATCTCCCGGCGCGGCAATTAAAATAACGGTGCAAGTTTATTAACTCCCATCCCCCACCTTTTTCGATCCAGTGGAATAATTGTTACACCGCAGTTAGTTGAACGTCTGGGTCGTGTGAGGTGGGGTAAAGTGTGGGTACTCCTACCTCTTCCAAAACGTCTAGCGAGTGTGGAACTACTTTTACTACTTCTAACCATCGAAGAAAGACGAGTAGTGCATCGTGCGCTTTCAGATGCGCTTCTTGCGGCCATCTGGAACCCTCTTCCTTTCAATATTAAGGAAGCCACTGAAGCTGTGCACTATTACATTTCAATTGAAAACTCATTTCTTTTATAGCTGCTTTTCGCGTTTAGTTTCGTTGCCCTTCCCCCGCATGGTTGTCTGAAAGAGGTCCGACACGTATACGTGCATGTCCCCGCGACCGATCTCATCGTCGGGGTACCCTTGAGGAGGCGCGCGTGACCCCCAGCAACCCGTGCGGGCTTGGGACCTGCAGAGCAGTAGCTCGGGCGGCGTTGCTCCGGTCCCCCCCGAACGATGCCTTCCCTTTGGCTTCCTCGCTTTTCCTTTTTTTTTCTCCTTCCAACCGCTCGCTCAACGGAATCACCGATTCCGAGAGGCTGCTGGCACGTCGTGACGTCCCAGCACCATCGCGGTGTGCCCTTTGTTGGACACCCGCTGGGCACCTGTGAAAAAGAGCTTTGTGGCTCATCAGATTCCTCCAGTACGACTGAGTATTCTGATTCCCACTTTTGTCGGTGTTCGGGAGAGGCTCTCGTTTTGCCAGGGCGTGGAAGAGTAGGCAAGAACACCCCGGGAGCTCTCTGGCAGCGGCGGTGTGAACAAGTCGTTGCGGGCTTTCAACCGTTACCTTCGCACACGGTGCACTAGTTCGCGAGAATCTGGGTGCTTTATATTCGAACAGCACACGAGCATCAGTTGCCTCGGTTTGCATCTGCATCTTTTGCCAAAGAGCATCCGGCGCGCGAACATGCCCTCCCGGCGGCTACATCCACAGCAGGTGGGCCGCTGGGGAACTGCGGTTGTCCACATGCTGACGGCACGATTCCCTCCACGTGAGTGATTTTTCACCGTCAAGACGAGGCCACCCGATTGTGAAGGAGAAAAAAAACGCCGCCTTATCCGTCGCAGAATACGAGCCCCATCTGTGTGCTGTCTTTGGAATCAATCTGTTGTCTAAATGTCCGCCGATTTATATTCATTCGTGCGATTTTAAAACAAAATCTCAAAATGCATCTATTGCTCGAGGCAAGCAAAGAATTTCAGCAGCAGTTTCTGATGTCTATGATAATAACAGAATGCAGTGTATAAGACATACAAGGACAGTGTTTTAGAGCAAAACAAAGGTAAAAATAAACACGTGATTAAATCATCCAACCACATGCTTACATCTCCCAGTCTTAAATAAGGTTAAGGCATATTCTCTGATTGTACCACTCTAGGGTTTTGTCTGCAGCTTTGTGTAAAGGTGACAACTTTTGTGTTCTAACATTACGAGCTCGACCCATTTCTTTCAGACGGGCCTCCACTACAGGGAACTCAAGATAGCCCCGATACAAATTATTTGGCCTACTCTACTTCTTTAGGCACTTCATCCCACTGCATGCGACCTGCCAATTGACTAACAGTGCTGGGTTGAACGGAGAGGCGGTGGGGTTTTAAGAATCTTGCACATTACGTCAACCGCCCCTCCGGGAGATCGAACCAGCGACTGACCTCTGGATTGCAATTCCAGTAGCGTGCCAACCATTACGGTGCCGTGGTGCCGAGATGGCGAGATGTTAACTCCCTCGGCTGGTATGCGAGCAGAACTCTCGATCGATAGCCCCCGCTGCCTCGCCGGGAAATTTGTTCTCGTAAAAGCCGTGGGGGTGATCCCAGCCTCTCTTTCCACTAGAAAAACCGAGCCGTGCCGGGCACTTGTTGAGCCAGCCCGGCGTGGCTTAGAAGGAGCCAGGGTTGTTCTTTTGGCTGTAGAAGTCGTGCCATCACATGGTTATGCCGCTTACGTCATAGCGTAATGGACAGATATAATTGACTATCGACTGTACTTTTTTATTTTACCAAGTAAGAACCACTGAGCTATATAGCTCTTTTTCAGAAGCCACCTGACTATCAAAAATTATAGCTCAATGAAGTGGCTTATCACGTTGTAATCTACAGTAGCCAAATACTCTATAAACGCACGTTGATTCCAAATCTGGAGGGAAAAATTGGAGGACCCCGAGAAAAATACACGCGACCATGGGGAGAGCGACACGCAAACTCCAAATATGCAGGTGTCAGGGTCGGGATCGAACCCATGATCTCCTGCATACCAGTCGTTGTCGTGAACATCTCACCACCGTGATGCCCCCTGACGTCATTATCCCCGCCTCTGGCCCTGCTTGCTCCAGAACCAGATTCAGACGTTGTGTGAGGCCAGTGTCGTACGGTGGTGTTACGGGTAGCACAGTGGAAGTGGAATCCAGAGGTCACCGGTTCCATTCAATCTCCCGGCGCGGCAGTTGAAACAATGGGGAAAGATTCTAAAATCTTGACAAACTCTAAAAATAGTTTTAAAGGTCAACTTCTGTGTCACCGAGCCAGTTTCACAGCCGAATAATCTACCCGAGGAACTATTGACCCAGACTCTAAAACTTGCAGATGAATGGTTCACGAACATTAGTTAGGAAATAAATGATTGAACCCCGGATTAGCGCACCACTCTTCATTCAAAGCTTATCTGTGAGCGATACACTCCACACACAGCAGGAGCTGGAACCATAAGTCACCCATCTCATTGAATCGTGAGACAAGATAACTCAAGGTTGGCTGTGAAGCTGTACTCTATCAGGAGCAGTCTATTTGTGCCGGGCACAAACATTCGTGCTCAATTTATTATCCTTATAATTATCTCCGCGTACGCACATCGCCAAGATGGATGAAGAAACTTGATAGTATATTTTTTCTGGCTGGATCTTCTTCACATTCAAGCTCTGCTTCTGAGAGGCAACCTTGTGTTTTGTCCTCTCCCTTTGACGTATACTCCTTGTCGCCGTCTCTCTAAGACACCGCTGCCAAATGAGTTTTTTTCATCCGCCCTTCTCTCCAGATGTCCTCTCTCCTCGCGATCTCTTCTGCTTGACCTCTGCGATAGTGTCGCCAGCCTATTCCTCCCGTCTTCGACGGAACACATCTGCTTGCTTTAAATTTTA